TTGCGCAAGTTCCTCTGTCAGTTTCTCATTGTCACCCTCCCTCTGCGCAAGGTCCTCTGCGAGCTTCTCATTGTCAGCCTCCCTCTGCGCAAGTTCCTCTGTCAGCTTCTCATTGTCAGCCTCCCTCTGCGCAAGATCCTCTGCGAGCTTCTCATTGTCAGCCTCCCTCTGCGCAAGGTCCTCTGCGAGCTTCTCGATGTCAGCCTCCCTCTGTGCAAGTTCCTCTGTCAGCTTCTCATTGTCAGCCTCCCTCTGCGCAAGTTCCTCTGTCAGCTTCTCATTGTCAGCCTCCCTCTGCGCAAGGTCCTCTGCGAGCTTCTCATTGTCAGCCTCCCTCTGTGCAAGGTCCTCTGTCAGCTTCTCATTGTCAGCCTCCCTCTGCGCAAGTTCCTCTGTCAGCTTCTCATTGTCAGCCTCCCTCTGCGCAAGTTCCTCTGCGAGCTTCTCATTGTCAGCCTCCCTCTGCGCAAGTTCCTCTGTCAGCTTCTCATTGTCAGCCTCCCTCTGCGCAAGGTCCTCTGCGAGCTTCTCATTGTCAGCCTCCCTCTGCGCAAGGTCCTCTGTCAGCTTCTCATTGTCAGCCTCCCTCTGCGCAAGTTCCTCTGTCAGCTTCTCATTGTCAGCCTCCCTCTGCGCAAGGTCCTCTGCGAGCTTCTCATTGTCAGCCTCCCTCTGTGCAAGGTCCTCTGTCAGCTTCTCATTGTCAGCCTCCCTCTGTGCAAGTTCCTCTGCGAGCTTCTCATTGTCAGCCTCCCTCTGCACAAGTTCCTCTGCGAGCTTCTCATTGTCAGCCTCCCTCTGCGCAAGTTCCTCTGCGAGCTTCTCATTGTCAGCCTCCCTCTGCGCAAGTTCCTCTGCGAGCTTCTCATTGTCAGCCTCCCTCTGCGCAAGTTCCTCTGCGAGCTTCTCATTGTCAGCCTCCCTCTGTGCAAGTTCCTCTGCGAGCTTCTCATTGTCAGCCTCCCTCTGCGCAAGTTCCTCTGCAAGCTTCTCATTGTCAGCCTCCCTCTGTGCAAGGTCCTCTGTCAGCTTC